ATGGAAGTAGGATTGCCCAACCTTCCTTCCAAGGAGAAGAGAAGACTAATAAACTGGAGGAAGGGAGGAGCAGAACCCTAGGTAAGCTTCTTCGTGACCATAGGTATCCATGATTGTCTAAATCTTCCAACTGTACTATTTCAATAAATCCTATCACCTCGGCCTCCACATCGCTTCCCACATGTTCCCAGAAAAAGAAGTGACTGATACCAACCTAGTACTGCTGAGTCTTTTAAGGGATGAGTTTTTGGAACAATAACTTTTAATGGGGGACCATGAGTGTAGGGCCAACTTGATGGCCACTAACAACTACTTTTACAATGACTCTTAGACTTGCTAATCAGATATTGGATGAACAATTTCTGAAGACAGAAAATTATGGTAAACATAAAACCCATGACAAATGAGAATAGGTTTCCTCATTCTAACCCCTTATCCTATCCCTCTTCCTATCATTTCTCCATTTTTGTTTTCTGGATTCTCCAAAATTTTAGCCCTGCAAATTTTGCACAGAACAAAGGAGCTCTGGTGGCACAGTGGTTAAAGCACTTGATTGCTAACCAAAAGGTTGGTAATTCAAACCCATCAGCCACTCCACAGGAGAAAGATGTGGCAATCTACTTCTGTAAAAATTACAGCCTTGGAACTACCTATGGAGCAGTTCTGCTCTGTCCTATAGGGTTGCTGTGAGTTGTACTCCAGGGCAAAGGGTAATGGATTGGACAGAACAAAGTCGTACCTGCCCACCTGTGTTCTGCTGCCCTCTAGTGGTCAGTATCCTTTCATTGCATGCTTAAGCGCAACAGGAAAAACCTCAACCCACCCAAACATAGTATGGAAAGGAATGTATTTGTTAAGTGAATATTCTAGTTAACTGACCAGAAAAGCATCTTTATATGTATTGAGTATTAAAACCTTTCTAAAATATGTTTGTCCTCTTTTGGACCTAGCTATATTGAAAATGAAGTCCCTGGGTGATGTAAACAGTTAAAATGCTAGGCTGATAACCAAAAGTTTGGAGGTTCCAGTCTGACCAGAAGTGCCTCAGAAGGTAGAGCTCACAAGCTGTGTCCAAAAACTCAGTCCTTGAGAAGCCTGTGGAGCAAGTTCTACTCTCACACACATGTCACCCAGAAGTTGGAACTGACTCAATGGCAACTAATATATTAAGGATAATTTAATCTTTTGCTCCACAAGAACTCAGGATGTTTAATATAGTGGGACAAGCAGTGAACAGGCAATCAATTGATGAGTGTTCCAAGCTCAGTTCTACCACTAACTAACAATGTGTCTTTACATAAGTGACTTTATCCCTCTGGCCTCAGCTTCTTTATCTGTAAAATAGGAAACTTGAATTAAGTGATGTTTCTAGGGTTCCCTATATTCATTCATTTTTCTTCAAAATATTTTATTTATTTGTTTTTTGTTTGTTTTGCTTTTTTTGTCAAAATCCTTATTGCCAATTTATATTCTTGTGAGCTAGAATAATATTTTGAGATATTAACCAAATTTCTCCATGCCCTTTCCTATATCTCATATTTTTCTTGTACTTTTACCTCCATATTTTTAGAGCTAAAAACATTGTCTTGGGAGAGGAATGGTGCCTTAGAAAACCACAACCAAACCAAACCCACTGCCATTAAGTCAATTCTGACTCATGGCAACACTTTGGGACAGAATAGAACTGCTCCGTAGGATTTCCAAAGCTATAAAGCTTTACAGAAGCAGACTGCCTCATCTTTCTCCCACACAGTGGCTGGTGGGTTTGAACTGCCAATCTTTTAGTTAGCAGCTGAAAATCATAAAGATACTTCCAAATTTCAAAACCTAGTCTTTAATTTGTAATTGCCTAAGTTTTTTAACTTTGAAAATTCTGATAGGATTGAGGCCTAAAATTTATCCCATGAAAAAAAATTGCAAAGAAGAGATGAAAACCAATATGTATTATAAAACTAATTGTTGTTATGAATAAAACCCACACTTTCAGTGGTTTAATGCTATAGAAGTCTATATTTCTCATTCACCTAAAAGTTACATCAGTTTTCCTCCACCAGTTTCATATTGGAATGCATGTGCTATCTAAAAGAAGAATGTTGTCATACATTTATGAGATGATATGACAATTGAAAGTATATTAATGACTTTTACTTTGAGGATTTACCAAAATTATTAACTTTTTAAATCTCTGAACACTCAAGAAAACAACCAACCAAATGGAAAAGATCTTAACAGACACTTCACTAAAGATTTATGAAGGACAAATAAACACATGAAAAGTTGCCCAACATCATATGTCATCAAGGAAATGAAAATTAAAACCACAATGAACCACCACTATTAAAATGTCTAAAATCTAAAAAAACTGATAATAGCAAATGCTGACAAGGATATGGAACAACATTAACTCTCATTCATTGCCGATTAGAATGCAAAATGTTACAGCAACTTTGGGAGAGTATTTGGCAGTTTCTTATGAAGCTAACTATAGACTTACTATATGAACCATCAATCACATTCCTAAGTTATTACCTAAGTAATGTGAAAAGTTATGTCCACAAAAAAAAAAAAAAGAAAAGAAAAATCTGTAACAAAGGTTTATTGTAGTTTTATTCATGTTGTTGTTGTTGTTTGCCGTCGAGTAGGCCCCGACTCATAGCGACCCCTCCTTGGGTTTCTGAGGCAGTAGTACTACAGAAGTAGGATTGCTCAACCTTCCTTCCGAAGAGTGGCTGGTGGGTTTGAACCGCCAGCCTTCTGGTTAGCAGTCAAGTGCCTTAGGCACTATGCTACCAGAGCTCCTAGTTTTATTCATAGTCACTAAAAACGGAAAGCAACTAATATGTCCTTTCACAGGGGAATAGACAAACTGTGGTGTATCCATACAATAGACTACTATTCAGCAATAAAAATGAACAAACTATTGAATCATACAACAATATTGTTGATCTTAAATGCATTTTAGGAAATAAAAGAAGATCAAAGAAACTACAAACTGTGTGATTCCATCCATACAACATCCTGGAAAAGGCAAAACTATAGGGATGGAAAACATTAATGTTTGCCAGGAGACTGGAGAGAGGATGTGGTTGACTGTGTCACAGAGCAAAATGACAGAGTCTGGACAAAATTAAAAGTAACGAGCTTTTATTGAGAGGTAAGGAAATTTTCCAATTGGGAATTACAAAATTCAGAGGATTCTAAACTAAGTGATCCAAGGAACAGACATTTCAGAGAGTCTATACAAGAAGATACAAGGAACTTAAGTTAAAAATCAGTATTGGTTGACATTTAGGAAATAATTACAAAATTGGGTGGTGGTACATCTGATTGGTAGGAGATTACATATGTTTCTAAAATTTTGTTTGTTTGTTTAAGTTATAAAATAATCATTAAGTTAGATATGTTTGTCCTCAAAACAGCCATGAGACCCTTCTTGCATGACTGCAGGGAGGACATGAATAATTCTCAAGTTTGTTTTGAGTAAGTATCTGTTCTGAGAATTGTTTCAGACATGGCTTCCTAAACCAAACCAAACACACTACCATCGAGTAGGATGCGACTCATAGCAACCCCTCCTTGAATTTCCAAGGCGGTATCACTACAGAAGTAGATCG